GGGAGGGGGAGGTAATGAGTTCGGCTTTGGCCATGTCCAGTTTAAGATGTCTGCACGATATCTACTTCAGTATGTCCGCGAGTGTTGAAGATGTGAGAGCAGAAGTCAGGAGAGAAGGTAGGATTGGACAAATAGATCTGAAAATCATCCACAGAGAAGACAAGATCCATGAAGCTGATGAGATCACCATGTGAAGTAGAATTTACAGAGAAAAGGAGCCAGGATAGACAGAGCCTTGGTGGATGCCCACGGTTAGCTGGCATGGCTACAAGGAAGATGCCGTGAAGGAGACTGAGAAGAAGCAGTCAGACAGGTAGGAGGAGAACTGGGAGAAAGTGATGCTAAAAACAAAAACCAAAGAGAAGAGAGACTGTCAGAGGCTGCAGAGAGATCAAAGAGGGTGATGACTGAGAAACGGTCATCAGATCTGAAATCACGGTAACTTTGGAGAGAGCACTTTCAGTTGAATGATGAGGTTCAGAAGCCAGACTGAAGAGAATTAAGAAGAGAGGAAGAGGTTAAGAAGCAGAGGGAGTAGATACAAAGAGCTTTCTCAATGACTTTTATCCAGAAGAAGAAGAGAGATATGGGCAGATGGATTAAGTGAGGGTTTTTTGAGGACATGAAAGACACGGGCATATTTGTAGGCATTAGAGAATAGACAGGGAGAGACAGAAGACAAGTGAAAGAGGAGGGATGATGGCAAAGGGAATCTACAGGAGAAAGTAGGACAGAACAAGATAGAGAGGTCTGTCTTAGAAAGACCTCCTAGGTGAAAAGAGAGCTGGCCCCAGAGTCAGGAAGACCTACGTTCAAATCCCATCTCAGAAACTTACCAGCTGTGTGTCCCTGGGCAAGTCACTAAATCTCTGCCTCTGTTTTCTCAGCTGTAAAATGGGAGATAACAGCATCTACCTCCCGGGGTTGTTGTGAAGATCAAACGAGATAATATTTATAAACACTCAGCACAGTACTTGGTACGTAGTAGGCACTACATAAACGCTTGTTTCCTCCCCTTCCACCTCTTCATGTGAGACAGTGATTGAGGAAGAGACAGTAGTGGATGGCATCTAAGTGATGTGAGGTAAGAAACAAGGGGAGAAGAAGGAGCTCTTGGCAAATGGTCTGGTGTTTTTCAGTCAAATATGAGGTAAAATTCTCAGTCAGGAAGGTGCTATAGAAGTTTTGAGGAATGATAAAAAAGTTTAGAAAAGTCACTGTGGTGAGTGGGATAGTGAATCCTTTAGGCAGGCATAAAAAGACTGCCTTGCCATAGTGAAGGCCCAGTTAAGATTATGTAACGTAAATTCGTAGTAGACATACTCAGAACAGTTTTATGATTTTCTCCAGCTTTAGTACATATGTGAGAAGTAAAGGCAAATGATGGTAGTAATATAAGGCTGAGGGTTGGAAGGGCAAGATCTTCAATAGGATTTCTGGGGCATGGGACTCAAGAGAAGAGGACAATGTAGAGTTGAACTGGTTCACCAAGGGGGCAAGACAGGTAAGGGAGGAGAGAGCAGCCAATTCAGGGGTTACAGCCTATGAAGAAACTGAAGGATGGGGGGGACTAGAGACTGCAAAGAGGGAAGAGAACAGGGTTAGGAGATTCAAGGTGGAGGGAGAAGCGGAATGACAATCTATTATTATTAAAGGAATTTTGAGCTCACGAAAATGAAAGTGGAACATGTGTGGGTCATGGTAAGATCAAGTATGTGACCATTTCTACAAATAGCTGAGGAGGGATGAAAGAGTAGGTCATGGGAAACTAAAGTGAGGAACTGGGAAGTTAGGGAGTTTGAAGAAGTATCAGTATGTATGCTGAAGCTGCAGATGGCGAAGGCAGGAGTTAAGAAGAGACTGTAAAGAAAAAAGGGGAGGGTCCTGAAGGTCTGCAGATGATAGTCAAAGGAATCTTTATAGGATGATGAATATGGATTGAACGAAACTCAAAGGAAAAGAGATTACTGAGTGGTGGAAAAAGAGAGCCTGGAAGTGGAAACAGGGAGCAAGGAGGATTCCAATTCACGCACCACAATCAGTGAGCTGGGAGGATGAGTAAAAGTGCAACCAGTGCTAGAAAGGGTAGTCAAGCAAGCTGTATCTTCAGGACGGAGCCAGGTCCAGTCAATGCAAATAGATAGAAGAATCAAGAAAGGAAAATGCTTAAGATGAAAGCTAGCTTGCTACCAGTGAAGCAGGTATTCCAGGGAGCACAGTGGAAAGTGTGGGTAGTTTCACTGTAGGGGGAAATGAGATAGGGGGTTGGCTGAAGGGGATGGGAATAAGAGAGCAGTCAGTGGGAGACAGACAACAGAGTTTTAACGATGGCAGTCAAGAGTTCATTATCACTGAGATGAGGAAGATATGACAGAGTGGAAGTATGTTAATCATTGAGAAATGAGTTCAGGCAGGAGTGTAGTCTTGGGATGGAGCATCAGGCATCAGTGTGTAAGTGGAAAGCTGAGGGAGGAGGGAGGGTACTTGGAATGAAATGAAATTACTTCTCAGGGAGGTGAGGGAATCTTCTCTCATAGGCAAGGCAACTCCAGTGACTGGATAGGGTGCTCAAGGAATATGACAAGTCCATAAAGGAAGAATTAAAGAGTTCCTATGATGACCCTATTGAGATCAGAAAGCATGAGTTTAATGACAAAAAAAGGAAAATTATAAATGCTGTAGAAAATGTGGGGAAATTGGAACACTAATGCATTGTTGGTGGAATTGTGAACTGATCCAACCATTCTGGACAGCAATTTGGAACTATGCCCAAAGGGCTATTAAAATGTGCATACCCTTTAAACCCAGCAATAGCACTTCCAGGGCTGTATCCCAAAAAGATCATAAAAATGGGAAGAGGACATACATATACAAAAATATTTACAGCAGCTCTTTCTGTGGTGGCAAAGAATTGGAAATTGATGCCCATCAATTGGGGAATGGCTGAACAAGTTGTGGTATATGAATGTAATGGAATACTATTGTCCTATAAGAAATGATGAGCAAAGAGATTTCAGAAAAACCTGGAAAGACTTGTATGGACTGATGCTGAGTAAAGTGAGCAGAACTAGAAGAATGTTGTACACAGTAATAGGCACGTTGTGCAATGAATAACTTTGATAGACCTAGCTCTTCTCAGCAATACAAGGATCTAAGACATCTCCAAAAGTCTCATGATGGAAAATGCTATCCACACCCAGAGAAAAAACTATGGAGTCTGAATGCAGATTGAAGCACACTATTTACTCTCTTTTGTTTTGTTTTGTTTCTTCTTTCTCATGGTTCCTCCCATTTGTTCTAATTCTTCTTTACAACATGACTAATGTGAAAATGTTTAATAAGAATGTACATGTAGAGTCTATATCAGATTGCACACTGTCTTGGGGAGGTAGGAGGATGAGAAAATTTAAAATTCAGAAGCTTATGGAAGTGAATGTTGAAAACTAAAAATAAGCAAATTAATTTAAAAATAAAAAAAAAAGGAAAGCATGAGTTTATAATGATCATGTACATGCAATGTATAACTACATGCAAATGACAGGGGTGATCCAGAACTGAGAGTTGTGGTGATGTGAATGCTCCTGACTTCTTCCAGGGTGTTTAATAATTAATTCTAGGATAAAGTTTGTTTAGAGAGGAAAGGGATGATGGAAATGGAGAACAAAAAGGGGTGAAGGTATTGATAATAAAGAGTAAATTCAGGAGGGATAAAGCAGAGAAAGACTGAAGGGTAGGAAAGTATTACCCAAGAATGAATTTCAAGAGTTTATGTTCATAGATATGGTATACTTATGGGTAATAGCTAGAGCTAAATGGTGATCATTACTGGAAGTGGTTATGGTGGAATAAAGATGTGGGTCATGAGTGATGAAGAGGCTGGTAAACTAGGGGACTGATGTTCCATGGAACATGAATATATACATAAAGTCCTCAAATATCAGAGCAGAAGTGGGGGTGAAAAGGAAAACAGTAAGATTGTGAACTCCTTCACAAAGGAAGGAGATTGACCTGGAGGCCAGTAGATTACAGCAACAAGGACCTGGAGCAGGTGACACTGATCGATGCAGTGAACTTCAAAGGAAAACAGGCTGCTGAGTGATGGCAATAGAGGGAAGATAAGGAAGCAGCAATGGAAAGCAAAATGTAGACGCTGACTATCTTTCCTGGCCCAGAACACTGGAGAACACAAATGTTTGTGTTCCTCAAACAGAGTCCCTTCAATGTAGTCCTTGTTACCACCATCAAGCTCTGTAGTCCTCAGCCTGCTTCAGCTGCAGGAACAGATTATGAATTCGAGGCCAGATTCTCTTCCCCAAGACTCTCAAAAGGACTTACCTCAAGGCCTGAACAAACACGTGCAAGTGAGAATCCTTCCTCCTTTTAGCCAAAACCTGCCTGTCTTGGCTATACCCATTCTTCTTTTCAGACAGGCAAGGAAGCATTGCCCAGCCCTATTACCAATGTGTCCAGCCCTCTAGACAGCTTTCCCAAACCTACTCCCTTTAGATCAGGGATTCTTAATCATTCTTAATCTTGGGTACATGAATTGCATTCCAATATAATTGGTCTCATCTAAAAATATTCTAAGAAGGGTTCATAGGCTTCACTGGACCACCAAAGGGTCCATGACACACAAAAATGGTTAAGAACACCTGCTTTAGATGGAATTAATGAACATTTTATAACAATATCAATAGACTTTGCATGCATAGCAAAAATCCTCACAACTCTAGAGCTGAAGTTAAGAGAAAGCAGAATAAAAAGAGTCTCTATGGGGATCCTGTCAAGTCCACAAGTGTTTACTGAGGTCCTGCTATGTACCTCCCACTGTGATGAATCCATCAAGAAGCCACCTTAGAAACATCCTGTTTCTTAATAAGATCAGAAAAAGAACAAAAGCAAGATGCCATCTTTACTCAGTCAAGAGAAAGGAAGTAAGTTCTGGAGCTTAGCTGTGTGAAGTGAACTCTTGAAACTTTTCCAAATTCCTTAGAACTTACCATAAAGGTCAGGTCCATGAGCTGTAAAAACATTATACAGAACAATGTTGAGAGGCGCAACCACCAACTTCCCATAGTAGTAGCTGTCAATGACCACTGTAGGTACCTAGAAAAAGGAGATTCAATTCAATTTAACCCAATTAAAAAACATATACTAAGAAGACAATACTTAGAGAGCACTTGACATACAGTATGTACTCAAAAAATCCTTGGTGATTGACTGATTCAGAGAGGCACAAGACACAGTTTTTGCTCATACAGCTTACAATCTTGTAGTAAGACAACAACAAATATACAGATAAAAATGGTAAATTAAAATTGGTAAGTGCACACAGAAGGCTGGTATGTCTTAAAGGATTTAGTATGTCCTAAAGTATTTCCAGTGGCAAAGAGAGTTAGAGGGATGAAGCTACTCCAGGCTTAGAGAACAGCGTGGACAGAAGCAAAGGGGCAGAAGTGTAGAGGAGCTAGACAGGAGATGTGGAGTCATCCAGTGTGCTGAAGCTAAGAGTAGTGGAAGGGAGTAATATAAGATGGGTCTGGATGGTATGGTACCAGATTTTAGAGTGCTTTCAATACTGAGCAGATTATGTCTAGAGACTGCAGTAATTATAGTTTTGCCCCAGGTTGATGCTTCCTAATTTAACTCATTTTCTCTTTTACTCCACATTGTGTAGCCATTGACAAGAACAAAACACACAAATAAGAAAAAAGATCACAAGTGAAAGTATACACTACATATTACATTTTAAAGTACATATTAACAAGAAAGTGACAAAGGTTCTATTTGTCTCCAAGTCCCCTTCTCATCTCTCATGTATGTCTTTTCTGGATGGTGTCCCTACTTTATTATTTGAAGAGTTGCAGTCCATATGTATCGAAATTAACGACTCAAAATTACACACTGTCTTCCCCGTTCAAATTCTTCATGCTCTCCAAGTTTTCCATTTAACACAGTGAAATGTAGAAATAAAAGACTCACCAGAAAGAGTATTATGGCCATTAGTGACCAGTGAAGAAAACTCTTCCACCTTCGTTTCATGACCAGCAAATCAAAGGCAATGGGTAATCTAGGGACATTCAACAGGGAAACATGGATTGAGAAAAGCCACCCTGAAGAATGCCAATAACAATAACGGACAGTTAAATAGCACTTTTGAGATTTGTAATGCCCTTCCATCAGACAACTCCAAGGGATTGGCGAGGCAGGTAGGACTATCCCAGTTTTACAGATTAATGAAGTAAGGTTCAGAGAAGCTAAACTGCCTGCCAAGGGTCCCGCAGCCAGTGTCCGGGCCAGGATACAGAACCAGGTCTTTTGGCTCCACCACCATTGTTCTTTCACTCCACCACACAAGAGATTAGGAAATCCAGATCACTGGTTAGATTCACAAACACTTCAAGCTGAGTGAAGAGAGTAGAATTCCTCTAAAAGTTATGATGCAAGAAGTAAAACTGGTACATGAACGGTCTATTTCTTTAGAGCCCAATGTGATTGTTTCACAAGACTTACAAGGGCATATGAGGAATATTAAATTACAATGACGGATTTAATAAGAATTTTAGTTGCTATACAAAATTCCATTAAATTTGAATTCACATGCCCCTAGTCACAAATATTTTAAATAAATGAAGAATAAGTAGACTACATCAAGATAATCTCTGAGATCCCTTACAACTCTGAAATTCTGTTAATCACTGACCTTTGGGTCACATAATGGAGTATCTCTACCCTAAATAAATAGTAATCTTAATAACCCTGACAATCCTAGAATCCTAGAATCCTACAGTTTACAAAGACATTGGGATCATGTAGCTTTTCACCCCTTACCTGAAGCATGAATGTTCTGCAAAACATGCCTGAAAAATTATCATCCAGCCACTGCTGGAAGACTACCTGTGTCAGGGAAAACGTGACCTATCAGGGTAGCTTGTTCCATTTTTGGAAGCCTCTAATTGTCAGGAAATTAGGTAGTTATCTTTTTTGTTTAATGTTTTTATTTCATAATAATAAACTTAACTCTGCAGTTTAGCCAGACTCGTACAAGGAAAACGGAAATGAAATCCAAAGAGAATTGTAGGAATTGAGAACACAAGGATTACAGGGTTGGAGAACAGATTGAAGGTTCCCTGCCCAGCTACAGAAGAATGGTTTGGTGCTTAAGACAAAAAAGGAAAAGAAAAAGGAAAGAAAAGAAAAGATTTATGAGACTGTCCATAATCAGCAATGGGTGATCTTCTCCCCATAGATGAGCTTGCCATCAGTGCCATCACAGGCCACGGGGCCTGTGAAGTCACCACCCTGGCACATGAACCCAAGGATGACCTTGTGAAAGCAGGATCCCTTGCAACCAAATCCTTTCTCTCCAGTGCTCAGAGCATGAACATTTTCTGCTGTCTTTGGAATCTTGTCTGCACATAACTTGAAAGTAACTCCATCCAGGTGGTCATTATTGGCAGTGATGTCAAAGTATATGACTGGGTTGGCCATGGCTATGGCCATAAATGACTGGGCTGGGAGCACTGGTAAAGGCAGAGGGAGTGAGGACTGGTGTATGGCAGAACAAGTAAAGTCAAAGGCTCCTAACATCTATAGAGCTTCTCACAGATATCTTAAACTGAGCATGTCCAAAGCAGAACTCATTTTCTCTCCCTCTAAGGCTTCCCTTGCTCCAAATTTCCCTAGTCACCCAGGTTCACAAGTTCAATGTCTGTCTCAACTCCTCATTCATATTCACCTCATATATCCAATTTGCGAAGTTCTACTGTTTCTGTCTTCCCAATATTCCTTGTATGTGTCCCCTTCTATCTGCTCACACGGCTGCCACCTAGACTCCTGAAATAGTCTGATGGCTAGTCTCATTTCCTCAAGTCACTCCCCATTCCAATCCATCCTCCACAGAGCTGCCAAAGTGATCTTACTGAAGTGAACATCTGATCACGTTACACACATCCCATTCAATAAACGCCTGTGGTTCCTCATTACCTCCATGATCAAATAGAAAATTCTTTGTTTAGTTTTCAAAGCCCTTCACAACCTGGCCCGTTCCTAGCCTTCCTGTCTTCTAATACTTTACTAATATCCATGCACTCTGTGATCCAGCCACACTGGCCTTCTTGCTGTCCCTCTCATACAACATTCCATCTCCAAACTGTAAACCTTCTCACTGGCTGTCCTCCATGCCTGGAACTCTCTTCCTCTTCACTTCTGCCTCCTTGGCTTCCTCAAATGCGGGAGTTCCTGCTCACTCACCCACCTATTGCTATAGCTTTTTTCTTAAGATCACCTCCTAATTACTTTCTTTCTTTCCATCTATCTATCTATCTATCTATCTATCTATCTATCTATCTATCTATCTATTCTTATTTAAGTGTCTCCACCATTAGAATGTGAGCTCTTTGAGGGCAGGGACCATGTTTTTCTTTTTTTTGTATCCCCAAAGCTTAGCACAGTGCCTCACAAATGGTAAGTGCTTAATAAATGATGTAATAAATAAATTAATGAAAAGTGCTTAATAAACAACTGGCTGAACTCCTTTTTGGGTCTGTTACAAGTGATGATTTCCTGAGCAGGAAAAGGGGAAAGTGATAAAGTAATCTAAAAACAAAAGATATCAATACAAAATTTTTTTAAAAGAACGTAAACTGGGGCAGCTAGGTGGCACAGTGACTCCATTTGGGGTTTCCTTGGCCAAGATACTGGAGTGGTTTGCCATTCCCTTCTCCAGCGCATTTTATAGATGAGGAAATTGAGGCAAACAGGGTTAAGTGATTTGTCCAGAGTCACACAGCTAGTAAAGTATCTGAGGCTAGATTTGAACTCATAAAGATGAGTCTTGGGGCAGGTAGGTAGTGCAGTGGACAGAGCACCGGCCCTGAAGTCAGGAGGACCTGAGTTCAAATCCGGCCTCAGACCAAACACTTGCCACTTACTAGCTGTGTGACCCTGGGCAACTCACTTAACCCCAATTGCCTTAACAACAACAACAAAAAAGTCTTCCTGATCCCCAGCCCAGTGCTTTATCTACTAAACCACACAGTGCCTAGCACATAGAAAAGTGCTTAATAAATGCCTGATTGACTGCCTGAGCTTCTTTCACAGATCATTCATTATATCCCTTCCAACTACTGCTGTTTAATCTCCTTTTCCCAGTTAAGCGTCTCGAGTTAGTATAATTATATCTGTTGCTTTCATTTTCTTTTCACCCCACTCTGGAAGCGGCATGTTGTTGGGGGAGAAAGCACTAGACTAGAGTCAGAAAAATCTGGGTTCAAATCCTGCCTCTGACACTTCCTAGCTGCATCAGTGACCTTGGACAATCATTCAGCCTCCTTTTTCTCACTCGTAAAATTAAGTTAGATCCCATGACCTCTTAGGTTCCTTCCAACTCTAAATCTATGTTGCTATGATCTCTTCTGAATGATCAGCGACCTCTTCTAAGGTCACCAAGAGTCTCTGCCTGGCTGAATGTAATAATTTCTTAAATTTTCATCTCCCTCCTTGATCTTTTTGTTATTTTTGACAGTACTGACTGAATCTCTTTTTCAGTACTTTTGGTTCCTCAGGACTCATTTGTCTGCTTCACTTCTTCCTTCTCCCAGCCAGCCACTGATATCCTTGCCCAAAGCAAGCTTCTAGTCTACCTCTACGAGTATTGCCTTGGATTATGTATCCCATCTACTTTCATGATTTTAACAATCGCCTACATGTCAATGACTCTAAAAATGAAAATTTTACCTATGTTTCAGTACAGTTTTCAAGTGCATCCACTTGACTACCGAACTCAAAGGAATTTATTAGCTCAATGATGTGGATGTTCCCTCCAAAGATGCAGACTGCAACTCATCCATCCTACCCCTCCTTCTTTTTCAATCATACATCTCTTCGATTATATTCTTTACTCCAGGTGTCCTTCAAAGTTCTTTACTCGCTGTGTGATGCAGCACACTAACACTTGCCATGTGCCTCTCCACTGGCCCCTGAGTGATACATATTTTAATTTTTTGAGACTTGCAGCCATTCAGTATTCAAACAGTGCTGGTATTAAAAAGAGGGGCTTTTGCTTTGGGAGGAATATAGTGTCATTAAAGTAGCTTTCCAGTTTGCCAAAAATAATATACTCACTATTAAAACATGCATGCATGCATACACACAAAACACACACACGTGCGCGCATGCACGCATCTTACTGGACAAACTCTCTAGGTTGCCTATCTAACTATACATCAGAATCTGCACAACAGCTACTCTTCATCTGCTTGTTTCTTTTTTCCTCTACAGAAAGTTGGCCACACTCTTCTGAGTAGCTTTGGATATCATCTAGGAGCCTCTATAATGTTTGGGGGCTGAATGTAATCAGAATGATGTCATCTGAAAACAGAAGCATTGAAGAACCTCACCATCCAACATGGAACAGTACTTCAACTTGGACTTTGCTGGAACTCCTCCACGACAGTGGTGAACTCCTTTGGAAAGTGTTCATCTCCCTGTTTTATGCCTCACTTGATGTTTATGATCAAAGGGTCACTGAACTAGGATGTACAAGAGTAAGATTTCTACAGAAGGGAAGATATCCTATTTCCCACCCCCCTCATTCCCTTCCCCAAGGATCCCTCATACTCTCCTCCCCACCCTTCCCAACCTCTTCTCTCATCAGAACTCCTTATTAAGCACTCATCCCCACTGCCACCACACACATACAATGGTTCCCTATTAAGTAAAGTCTAAGTTTTTAAAATGGCCCATCAACTAGGGCTACCTTACCTATCTGACAGCATCTTGGAGGACTCCTTCACAAATCAGCCTGAATTCACCATCCAGGCAGGCATTTTTTTCCATACCAGGATAAACCATACTTGCTCCTACCTCCACAACTTGGCTAATACTGTTCTCCCTGTTTGGAATGTCTTCCCTAGTCCTCTCTGCCAAGAAAGATTCTAAATTTTCACTGAAGTTCAACTATTCCATGAAACTTTTCCAAACCAACTCAAGGAATTTTTCAACCACCCAAAGAACTTCCTTTACTTAGAATTTCATCAAAAGTTCTGTTTAGTCTCTACAGCATTATTATGCCTTTGCTTATATAAAGTCTTGGAACTGTCTTCTAGAGCACTGATGTCACATTCAAATAGAAACAGATCAGGCAGGCTACAGACTGACTTAGAAAACCACAAATTAACATTATCTATGCTGTATTGTATCTTTATTTTACTAAACATTTCCAAATTATATTTTAATCTGGTTCCACTTAAAGGCCAGCAAGGAGTTTAACAAGTCTGCTCTAGGTATTTCTTGTTTCACCAATTATATAGCAAACTCCTGGAGAAAAAGACTTTTCCTTCTATTTCTTTTATATTCTCCACTGTACCTTTTTTTGATGCTCTGGCATCACTTGTCCTTGTACCCTCAGTGACTACTTTACAGGCACCAGCAATGCTGTTGAACTAAACTGAATTGGCCTTCTCAGGCTCATAAAGGTACACCTAAACGTCCGTAAGTCCTCCTCAACACTGCAGCCACGTTATAGATCCAATTACTCTCGATAAACTTCTGTCCTACCCCAACTGTTTGCAAATAACTTAGCCCTGACAGTCAATCTGTGGAAGGGTGGGGGGAAGGAATTTGACTTAGCTTCTTACCCAAGAGCAGCACTAAATGGCCAGCCAAGGATAGCCCCAGCAGCTACTGCCAGCACAGCAATGGAGGTCTTGTCCATGAACCAGCCTGTCATAGCTATCACAGTCGTGTACATACAGAAGCTGCTAGGAAGGAAAGCTGAAAAAGAATGGAAATGTTTCAAAAACAACAACAACAACAAAGACTTAGGACAATTTATCAAAATCTTCACTAAGGTTAAATGCTATCACATGCTGCAAGGCGGCAGGGACCAGAAAGGTTTACTTTATGTTGGCGTGTTAGACAAGGCCACGTTAATAAGTGGACAGTAAGAAGCACTCATTCTTTCAAAATTCCATTTCAGTAGTAAAGTCTTTCCTGATTTATAAGCACCAAACACAGGATGTCCTTTAAGCTGCCCCTAAAGGACACCTCACATGGAAGCCCAAGACCACCAGGTATGTCCTGCAATTCACACTCATTGTGTCCCAGGAATGCATAGGATTGTCCGCAGGTTTCATGTGCACACTGGGATTAGGGCTTCAAGAGAACTATAGCTGTCACAGAGGGCTTACTTCTGCCAGTTTTCTAGGACTGCTCTGGTCCAAACCCGTAACCTCATGGTAGTCACAGGGGCTCCAGAAGGGCCTTTCCAGAGCATGGATAATTGGCAAGGGCTCCCCACTGTCATTCTGAACCCATTGATATGAACACTTTAGCTTCTGGACACTCTTCTCACATTCCTATATCATAAAACTGGGCACCCACCCCAAAGAGCTTCCAATAATAGCACCAAATCAATGGGATCAAAATCAAAGAAATCAAAACATATCAACTAGTCCCACCAGCTCATTTTGAGAATAAGGAAACTGAGGTCCACATAGGTGAAGTGACTTAAATGAAAGTCTCACAGGCACAAGTACAGGTTTAAACCCAGGCACTGTCAAGCTGCAGTCACTGGATGACTGGGATACAAACTGTCCCCCTCTAGCTGGGGAGCAGGATCTTCCTGACAGAAAGCTTTACCCCATGGGCTAAAGACAGTGTCTGAAGTGAAGACTGCTTACATTTTGCTCCACTTGGCAATGAAGTGATGTGCCACAGTGCTCCTCAAAGGGCAGTTCCTGCCTCTCCTGCTGCTCATCTCCTACTTCACCTACTCCAGGGGAAGTAATAATCAGCACCCTATTCCAACAAGAATTGAATGAAGAAGCAGGGAGCTCAGCAAAAGGCTCAGGGACTCCATGTTCTAATCCTGGCTCTGAGTGAAAGGATAATTTTAATGCCTTAATATTCTTAACTGCAATATACAAAATCAAATTTAAACCTAGCACCTCCACCAAAGGCTAATCTTGGGAGCAACTCATAAAATGACTGTAAAATAATCTGAAGGGCAGATTTTCCAGACAAAGGTGGCATAATATTGGTGACATACAGAGCTGACAACTCCATTTGCTAATGCACAGAGACAGTAGAGAAATCTACACAAACCCAGGAGGGCTAAGCCAAAGCCCTGCCTGTAAATTATAGTTCTAAAAACAAAAACAAACAAAAAACTATGGCTCTGGTTTGTTACATTCATCTCCAATATACTTGGAAAAAGATTTTAGAACACACCCAGAGGCAAGCTTTTTCTGAGAGAAAGTGTTCCCTCACAGGGAATCACAAAGGTATTTTCCTACATCCCAACAGCACAGGAAAGCCTGGGGTTAATTTTATGTTGTAAAGAATCTCGTGGCTTTGTTTTAAACTTACACTAAGACAAAGCGCTCTCTTTCATTGCAACTGCAAAGTGTCTATGGAAGTGTCATCCTTTTGCCTCTTACCTGCTGATGAGCAAAACATTCCAGTGCTAAGAACTAAAAATGCCAGCATCAATCGACTCACGTGGAGGCCAAACTTCTTGCACACAGCCCTGTGAGCAAGGAAAGAAGAAAAGAAAGAAGAAAATATCAAACATGGAAGGCCTCAGGAACATCCACTTCAAACAAGAAGATAAACAACTGCTACCTGACTGGTAATAATCTGATAATCTGAATTACAATGTAACAAACTCATCCAAGACTCGCACTGATGAGAAACCTAAGGGTGGAGCTATGCATTTTCTAGGAACTAAAAGTGACACAATTATAACAACAGATAGGAAATTAAAGGGCTTAAATATAAGACAGAGAGGAAAGAGATTTAAGATTCTCCTCTAAACACCTGGCCTACTAAGATCCCACTGAGGATTTTATCAATCACTAAACCACCAAATATTGATATGGAAGGTGCTGTTCTGGTGTTAGAGAAGCGATAAACCCTTCGTTGTGGCACCTTCCTGCCCACTAACATTGAGGACAAGGAAAAATAAAAGTCATATGTAACACGTTAAAGATTTTTTTAAAATGTCAGCCTATACTACAAAGGAAATTAAAAATCCTTACACTTCTAGAACATGTGGCAGTTACAAAGCAAATTCACATACATTATACCATTTGATACTCCCAACAACTTTTTAAAGGTGATACCAATATCATTATCCCCATTTTATACACAGAAACATGGAATGCCAGCGTAGGAGGGGCCTCCAAGGCTATCTGGTCTCCTCCACATAGGAGCAAGAGCCTGCCTTAGATTAAGACTCAGGAGTTAAGTGACTTGCCCAAGGTCACAAAACTTGTGAAGAGTCCAGGTTTCACCACAGACCTTCTGACTACAAGTCCAGCGCATATGAACAAACAGAACTAAAGTGATCATCATAAAAACCAAATATCTGAAAGCTTCTGGTAAGAAAAACAATAGCCACAAAGTCTCTTTGTCCAAAACAAACTGTTTATTTTAAATAAAAAACCATATCACAGATAATATCTCTGGAGGGAGGAAAAGGAGCGAGGGCAAGTTTCAGCCACTGCCATGTATATCAGGAGGATAATACATTCTATCTGGTATCCTACACAGTGATTTTCTACAAGCAAAGCTTTCTGTACTCACTTATAAAAGTAAAGTTCACAAACAGAGCTCACAAAAGCCAGGATACATCGCAAAAAGTAAAAGACGAGAACCTAAAAGAAATCCAGAAAAAAAACAGAAGTCACAGACATAAGCTAAAACAATTTGAAAAATAAAACTGAGAAAATAGCTAAGATAATATGAGTTATGCCAAATAGCTTCTGAAGTATTTACATGGTTACATATGCTATAAGTTAAAGTACTTTTAAGCTGTTCAGAATGAAACTACTAACTTAAATGAAAAGCATAATTAGAATAATGTGCTTATAACTTGGCATATCAGCAATTTTCTTTATTAATAACATCAATTTTCAATCACTATAGCAAATAAGCTCTTCAGTTTAATAAGAAAAATACACCACATTTTAGGGAGGGCACTAGCCAACTGGAGCTCCACCCAGGATGATGAGAGGACTAGAAACCAGGCCATAACAGGATTAAAAAAAAAAGAATTAGGAGGGTTATAATCACTATCTTCAAATATGTGATTGGTTATGATGCAGAATTCAACAAGCATTTATTAAGCATCTACTAAATGGATGACACTATATTAGTTTCTGGGGTTACAAAGAAAAAATATTAAATATTCCCTGAAATCAAGGAGTTTCCATTTTAGTAGGGGGTACAGTATGGAAATAGATAAGTAAATACTAAGTACATAGTAAGTAAACACAAAGTGGGGGGATAAAAAAGATAGCACCAACCACCAGAAGGTTCAGGAAATAGCGAAAACCTGAATTCTAAGGGGAGATGCTAAGGAGAGAGAGCATTTCAGGCATGGAGCCTGAAAAGGCCAGGACAAAGGTAAAAAGGCTAGAAATGGAGAGCCATGCACAGAGAACAGACAGTTAAGCCAATTAAGCTAAAATCTGAGTGTGAAGGGGGAGTATCGTGAAATAAATCTAGAAAGAGAAACTGGAGCCAAATTGTAAATGGCTTTAAATGCTAGAGAGGAGTTATAGGTTCTGCTGGGCCCAACAAGAAGACCAATTATAGTGAGGCTGCTCTCAAATCTACATAAGAAATCCACAAACCTGTTTTGAAGACATGAAGTCTTTCCAGGTTCCCCAAACTCCTAGTGCCTTTTCCCTGGGTTACCTTGTATGAGTTTTATACATGCCTATATTTGTGTATGCTGTCTCTCCACTAAGAAAGCAGAGACTTTTTGCTTTTTGTCTTTGTATCTCCAGCAAAGCAAAAGGACTGGCACCTAGTAGGTGCTTAATAAATGCTTGGTGACTGATTGAGAACCAAATCAATACAACAAAAACACAAAATAATAATTGTCTCTAATATGGGTTTACTTCGATTGGTCTTGAGATAGTACATGTTATTTTTAAAATAGGTCCACAGTTCTGGCAAAACTACAAAGCCATTCACAAGTAGCAAATTTTTAAATAAACTCTCAAAATTTTAGAAGTAAAAAATGCAATAAAATTAAACACTCTCCAAATATACTACCTTGTAAGAACAGGGCAAAATTAAAACTTTTCTGAGGCATCATACAAGATCTTACATTATATCCAACACTTCCCGATCACAAAACACCTAATAATAACTAACAACCGTTTGGTAGGGGAAAGAATAATGAATTTGGAATCAAGGGTTCAAATCCCAATTCTGCCATTTACTACTTATGTGGTATCAGACAGGTCACTCATCCTTTCTGTGTCTGTTTTCTCAGCTATAAAATGAGGGGGCTGAACTAGGTGGTCTCCATCCCAGCTCTAAATATGTAATCCTATGTTCAGAAACTGAGGCCGTTAAATCAGAGCAGTGGAAACACGGACAGGAATACCTTCAGTCTGAACAGCATATAAGTGAGTAGAATAGCACAGAGGTGGTTGTTGTGGCTTGTGCTTTGTTCTCAAACAGGACCATAACACCAGGGAGGTGACGCCATGACATGCAAGGGAGTTGGAAGGAAGACGTACAAAGCAACTGGAGTCAGATTTTTCCTTAAAACCTTTCCACAGCTAACAGGCTTGTTTGTGTTAGTCTATACATTAAGAATCAAAGGGAGCTAAGCAAGCTAGCATCCTATTTCAAGAAAGGCTTCTATACATTTTTCTCAGGAGCCCCAAGAAACTAAACGCTCCATAAGGCAAACAGGCAGTTTCCCACAGCAATCAGACATGTCAATCACAAGACCATCAGAAGACTGAAGATTTCACTTCCAGAAATATGATAGGCAGGTGGAGTCTTTCAGAAACTTGCAGAGAGCATAGTACCATGTTTGTGCTTCTGCCAGTGACAAATAATAATTATACATGTACTCACTGCAAACTGATCTAATTACCAGGAGACAGGGCTAAATGAACACTTGTCTATTCTCCAAGTTATTGGAGATAGAGTTCCTTGAAAGAATAGAAGAAATGCTCCAGAGGAAAAAACAAGAAGAATCAGAAGTGGGCAAGTAGAAGAATTTGACACAGAAAAGGAAGGGAAGAACCCACAGCAATTCTTTGGAACAGTGTAAAATCATGCTCTTCCTGTAGAAGGCAAGGCTGCACCCTCTGAGGAGGAAACACTCCATGTGCCACAAGGAAGGATGATGTAGATACACAGGTACTGTCAGGAGAGGTCACAGAAGAAGAGGAAGAGGTAGATAGTGATGGTTGGCAGCACCCTGGTGAAGGCCTTCTCAGGGAGACCTCCTGTGAATGAGGATGGGCACAGTCTTCCTGAGGCTGTGTCTGCTACAGAAGGGAAAACCTCCTGAAATCTGTGGAGAGTTTACCGGCAGACAAATGATATCACCAGAAAGAACCCAGATGGCTTTGGGAGCATTCTAACATGCTTCTCGATCAGAAACAGAAGACCATAGGGTAACCAGTTTCCTTTTCATCCCTGCTGCTAACTGAGGGTGAACAGTGATCAGCTGGAGAAGATGGTGTCTGAGGTTCACTTGAGTTTTTTTGACTTTTAAGGTTCCCTTTAGCTCTACATCTATAACCCTATGATCCCAATAATTTAATAGGGAGAAAAGTAAAATCCTACATCTTGGCTTAAAAAAAATCAATAGCACAAGGACAGGATAGAGAAGGCCCTGGCTAAATTAGTGCATGTGAAAAAGATGAAGGGGTTTTTAGTGGCTTGCAAGCTCAACGAATCAAAGGTGTGCCCTCACAGCCAAAAAATATTAATGCGGTCTCCTTGTTGTTCAGTCACATCCAACTCTTTATGACCCAAGGACTATAGCCTTCTAATGCTATCCATGGGGTTTTCTTGGCAAAGATACTGGAGTAGTTTGCCATTTCCTTATCTAGCTCCTTTTACATATGTGGCAATTGAGGCAAACCACATGACTCGCCCAGGGTCACACAGCTAGTAAAGTGTCTGAGGCTGGACTGGAACTCAGGTCTTCCTGACTCCAGGCCTAGTGCTCTATTCACTGAGATATCTAGCTGCTCCAATGTAATCTTCACCTACATTAAGTCCCAAGTAAGGGATATGAGAGTGCCACACTCTCCTGCCCCATTTATGTTTCATGAAGAAACTGGGGATGCTCAGCTCTAGTCCCGTCCCCATCCTTGGAACATATGTAGAGAATGTAACATAAAGATTTATTAAAGAAATTTGGTATGTTTACCTTGAAAAGAAGTCTTTTGGGAAACATGATAGCTGTCTTCAGATATCTGATGAGCTATCACCTAGAAGAGGGAAAGCATGTATGTTTCCGGCTTTGCCTCAGAGGGCATAAATAGGATTTCAGTGAAATTTTGTTTATCTATAGGGTTTTGGCACTGCAAAATATCTGAGAACCAAAGGAAGACCCTGGTGACAGAAACTGGGCAACTGTGAGTTTTAGGATAGAAGATGATTAATTCAGTTCCAGATTTGCTGAGTTTGAAGCCATAGGAGGTTAGCTAAATGCAAACAAACTCTCTGAGGACATCCCACTGCTCTTTCTACATCGTGCCTCTTACAAAAAAGATTTATTTCATGATGTACTAAAAAACACATGACTCGTCATATTCATGACTCAACAATGATTAACAGCCAGCAATAAATGTTTATTGATTGATGAATAGTTTATCAATGCTCAACAAATAAAAGAAATACATTTACTGTCTTTCCTCTGATAAACTTGGAACATTAGAAGGAAGATAACTCAGTTGAAAAGTTATATAGCTAGAGCTACTATCCTCTAATTTGGACAACTGTCACTGGCCTCCAAACCGGCCTCTATCCCATTTGATCTTTCCTATGCAGAACAAGAATTTTTTCCCCTAAATATCACTACTATCTATGCCACTATTGTGCACTTACCTCAAAGCCCTAGGTCCCTATACCTAATTACAGAACCCTTATTTCTACTTACCTGAAACTCTACCTTAGAGTCCAGTTCTTGGTTAAAAAAAATAAAAGCAGAAACTCAGTTGTTTTGACCATGACAGACAAGTGCTTCAGGCTAGGCCTTGTCTTACCTTGTTAGTTTGTAGGACTTTTGCATGGAATGCAGCTGGCAAGGCGTGAAGCCACAGGTAAGCATAGGATCGGATTGCATAAGCTGGGGAATATTCCCATGTCTGGAACCCATTCCTATAGACGAGGTAGTGCATCTAAAATTCCAAAAGAGAGAGATGAAATTGGTGTTTTGAGGGCCAAAAATCATTTTCATGAAGATATATGGTGGCATGAAGAGCTTCTTGGTACATCTATGAACCAGGGGCCAAAAAAATATAAAGCTGAAAGCCTATGCAGAATTCTGGTAGCTAAGGGCAGTTTTAGACAGAGGCCAGAGGAAACCAACATTGTAGAAGGTTTAGGAAATAACAAAATGCTTTAAGATTATAGAATTTCTTACTTTAGGTGGCTCAAAAACTCTTGAATTATTTTACTATAAAATTTTTAATTACTGATTTTGATAAAATAGACATTTCCCAAACACTCAAATAAATTCCTATATGAAGTATATACCATGAAAAAAATGTATTGTTAACAACAAAAAAAGATCCATCTTTTAACTCTGAAAGTATGGTACAAACACTGACCATCGTGTTTGACCATAATTTTGTTTCCTTTCCACATTGATTTTATTTATGTTGTTACAATTATTGTTACCTTAATATAAACTTAACAGCTCATTAGTCAGAAGAGAAATGCTCCCATTCTGATATTGTCTTAGTAGCAAATAAACCAAGCTTTCACACCCTGGGGCTTTTTTTCTTAGAATAAAATATAACAAGGATATTATACCTCTAAATATACAAGCCAAAACAGCAGAATCTTGCAGTTGTAAATTTTAAGTTTAAAATTCTAACATGCAAATTGTTACTTCACCCAGCTATAATTTCACCATTGCAGGTACTGGAGCCACCCATTATGTATCATAACCCATTTATATCTTCTTATCTTCTACAACTTTGCCTATGACTTTCTACGATAATAATAATAATAACAACAACAGCCCACATCTATATAGCACTGTATGCTTTTTATAAGGTATTTTACATACATTATCTCATTTGAATCAGACAACAATCCTATGAGTTATGTACTCATTTTGCAGTTGAGGAAAAAGTTAAGTCACTCTACTAGTGTTTGTTCTAGCCCCAGGCAATTGCCTAGTGGCACATTTCATAGATGGAAGCCACCTTAATACACAAAGTACTTTAAAAAAAAGTCCTGAGTGAATTTTAACCTGTTGGCTATACCTATAGCATACTTTAAAGCAGAAGTTCCTAACTTTTCCTGTATCGTGAACTCCTCTGTTGGATTAGTGAAGCCTGTGGACCTCTTTTCTGAATAATGATTTTAAGTGTATAAAATACATCACCAAAAAATCAATTTATTGAAATAAAGATGTAATTTTTTTTTCAAGTTCACTGAAGTCTATCCATGGATCCCAGAAGTAGTAGGTTGGTTCAGGAGATTTAAGAGTTAAAACAGAAATCCAAGCGAGGAATAAATTTTTACATCTTTGTTCTTTGTAGGAACGTAAGACCATCTAGGAAGGGAGGGTTTCTCAAAAATTCAATCCAAGGCTATTTTCCTATCAATGGTCATGAAATTTAGAGACAGAACTCCCTGGAAAGGCTCATGCCCATAGTAATTGGTTGCTATCCTGGTGACAATGTAGATTTAATTGCTTCTTGCTGTATTTGCTTACACTCTTAAAATCTAACACGAAGATGTCTGTCTCCCCACTTATAAATTCAAAGATAAGCATCCAATCTGCCTCAAATGGCCACACAACACCTTTCACGTCCTCTTCATCAGCAGACCTCAGGTAGCTTCTCATCCCCTTTAACCAATTACAATGCTCAAAAATCCCAAAAGCATTGCTCCGGAAGTAGAGGTCACCAGGTAATGCCTTGTTTCCCCACCAATCACTACCCTAGAATCCCCCAAAGTGAAGGCGTGTCCCTACCCACATGAGTAGATGGGACATTTCCTGTTCAAAAGGGGAAGCTCAGCAACTATCTCTGGAGCCGTAACACAACCCCCACGTCCACGTGAATTTGGAGAACTTCAGCCTCCCTTCCATCTCCAGCCATTTGGAAAGAATACCCCTCAATAAATTTCATGTGGACATCTAAATTTACATGGGAGTTTTCTCCTTTTTCTGTTTCTAGTGCAGATGCTGGTGTGTCACATAATCACTCATTTGGAAGGAAGGGAAGGGGAAGGATACAAGCATTTCTATAGTGCCTACTATGTGCCAGACACCGCACTAAGCACTGTTACAAATATTATCTCACATAATTCTCACAACTCATATTATCCCCATTTTACAATTGAGGCAACTGAAGTAAACAGAGGTTAAATGACTCGCCCAAGGTTATAAAGCTAGTAAGAGTCTAAGCCAGATTTGAACTCAGGTCTTCCTGACTCAGGCCTAGCACTCTATCCACTGCACCAACAGCTGCCTTCAAATTTGGAAATAGGAAGAAGAAACTAATCAAGTCTCCTCATTTTAAAACTTCTACAACTAACTCACAAAACAGCCCTTATTCAGATTGCTACAACAAGCTCTCCCCAGTCACCTGTCCAGGATTATCAAGTGCTAAGTCCTTCGTAGAGGATTTACCCAACATGTTGGAGCCTTCTAGGTGTTTAATATTTCATGGATACCAGTGCAATACTTAGCCTGCCTGCCTATTATTCCTGCCTGTTACTATATCACTAGCCTGCCTCTATGTCTCATAATACACGTCCGCAAGTCATCTTTGGTAATAAGCTGCAGCCCATTTCCCTCATGGAGCACTGGGCATGCACCTCTCATATATACTTAATGTGGATTTCTACTGCCTGTAGGGAAAACTTTGATCTTTGCTTTTCTGAAATTGTAGTGTTTTATCATTCAGAGATGCACAGCATCACTGGGATAATACTTCTTTTTAAAATGTGCTTTGGCAGCAGAGAGTAATTTGGGATCATTGAAAGCCCTAAGAAATTTCCCAAATACAGTCTTGCTTGTCCTTCTTTATTTTTAGGCTTGGCTCACTGTACATCTGCAATACCCATCTAAGAGAGATGGGACTAACGGCTCTCTATCCAAACACATGTCACCATCCGAGCAAAATGCATTCTTCATCCATTTGCTCTTTCCAATACAGACTGCTAAGTCAATTTCTATTGAGGGGCAACAAGTCTCATCACAGAGGCCCTCCAGTGATCTAGGACTCAAGGCAATCAGCTCAGTGTCATGCACAAAGAGAAGCATCTAGAAATCTTTCCAACTAATAAGGAATTTATCTTCCGTTTTGACTTTGTGTAGAACACCCTCCATGACACTAACAGTGGCAAGTGTGAATTCCTGTTCTATGAACTACTTGATACAGATAATATGAGGATTACTAAAAGAAATTATCTCTGCTGCTGCATTTATCAAGAACTTGCATCCCATCTTAACATATGCATGGGAAAGAGGAGGGGGAGGTGGAAAAGCAAGCATTTATTAAGCACCTACTATGTGCCATGCATTATGCTTACACTACAAATATTATCTCATTTGATCCTTCCAAGAACCCTGGGAGAGAGGTGCTAATGTCATCCACGTTTTACATTTGAGGAAACAGCAAGTAAGTGCCCAAAGCCTGATTTGAACTTAGATCTTCCTGACTCCAGGCCTTAGGTTCTAAACACGGTATCACCTAGCACTTTACTTTGCTCTTTCAGGTCAAACTCTTTTTTGATGATCAATGAACAATAAACATACAGCAGGATTTTGTAGTCGCCATACCTTGAGGCAATGGCACAGTACAAAGAACGCTAGGCAAAATGGGGATAATAACAGCAGCTAACTCGCAAGGTTGTTGGGAGCATCATATAAGATAATATTTTTAAAGCACCCAGTGCACAATCGGTGCTTTATAAATGCTAGTTACTATCATTATTATTATTATTATTATTATCTGTCAACAATCTGTTACCATGAAAATACAATCTGCTATAGATAATCTACAAAAACTGGTCTGTTTCCTGATCATATTTTCATTAGAGATACCCTAAATGAATGCATAAGACTGTGATATTGTAAAAGAATAAAGTTTGCGTAAGTGTTGGTAGTTATTCACGTTGTTTCAATTGCTTTTTTTTTAAAAAATACTATCTTCCCCCCACCTACCCCTATTCCTTTAAGATATCGTCAAAATCTACCCCTGAGTAAATTTTAAACTATGTAACCTCCACCATGGATCTCCTCCCTTTGTTTTCAATCAGATCTTACCTCTTGTGCCTGAATTTTTTTTCTCGTGTGCTGTTTCTCTAAGTACTAAATATCCCAGTCCGAAGGAAACTATTTTCATAATATTCACACCACATTTTCATTTTGAATAGTTTTGTACAGCAACCTTTTCCATAATAAAGCACCATGCAGCCAATCAAGGACACAGAAACACACACGCATCCCTCCACACACACTCCCACACCCAAAATACCCTTCAAAAAAATTTTAAAGGCCAAGAAATAACTTACTGGTTCCCAGTAGTTGAATGTTTCATCACAGTCAGAAATATTACTCAGGAGGGCAGCACAGAACCGAGCCGAGATCAAGCACTTGAAAGCAGTGGACCCTTCAGGTGCCCAGACTTGTCCTGCTTTACTCCCAGGTGGCCTGCCCAGGGGCAAAGGAAAGGTATCAGGAAGGAACTACTAGGATGGGAGTAAAACTAAAAAGAGGGAAGGGAAAGAAAAGCAAAAATGCAACAAAGCACTAACGTTATTACAAAAGAAAAGGCAAAAACCAAAAAACTTCAAAACCTTTTGGTTCTTTCTCAGTAGAATGTGTAAAACCAAAATTACGGCCTCGATCCTTTTATTTCCTGGCTTCAATATTTAATTTAGAGAGAAACCAATAGCTGCAATTACAAAATAACTCAGTCAATAATTCATCAATGAATTAAAGATCTGAAAAGGAAATTATTTCTTGGAAATCTGAGTGCAAAAAAATTCAGCACACAAGTATAGAACGGGAAAGATCGGGCTTAGTAATACTAACACACATTTAAACTGCTCGTTAAGGTTTACAAAACACTTTCCTCCCACCCCTGTAAATTAGGCAGCAAAAAGTAGGACTGGGATTCCAAACCCAGCGTCCTGATTCCAAATACAGCATTATACTCTGCAAGCCAATAATATCAGCAGTTCATGTGGAAAAAGACATTTCAATTGATTGCAAGCTTATTGAGTTAACAGTGTGACACAGCATCCAATAAAACTAATTAAATCCTAGACTACATTAAATACTCAATAGCCGCAAAGGTCCCTTCCATCTTTAAACTATGTTCCTATGTGGAAAAGCAGACTTTCCACAAATCAAGTACATATTATATTTAATTCTGAGTACTAAATGTTAAGAGGAACATTGAAGAACTACAGCCCATGCAGAAGAGGGTGACCAGGATGGTCATGGAGCTAAAAATCATAGCATATGAGGAATGACTGAAGGAACTGGGGACTTTGGGCCTGAAGCATAAATAGTACAAAAGGGACATGATGGCTATCTTCAAAAATCTGAAGGGTTGTCATGTAGAAGGATTATGTTTATTTTGTGTAGGGCCAGTGAACACAATTAGGAACAATAGTTGGAAGTTACAAAATGGCAGATTTTGGTTCATTATGAGAAAGCATTTTCTAACCATTAAGAACTTTCAAAAATGTAATGGATTACTTTTTAAAAAAAAATAGTGAGCTTTTCATCACTAGAACTGTTCAAACAAAGGTTAAGTGACCACAAATGACAGAAGCTGTACCTGGGAGATGAAACTAAAAGTTCTCTAAATTGAAATAGCGCTCAGAAAACATTACTTTTGGGTTGAACTGCCTGCCACCTGTCATATCCACCAATATTATTTTAACACATAGTAACCTCAATTTTCCCTGTCTTTCTCACTCTTTGGTAGTTACTTCTTTCTTTTGCATACGTGTGCTTTCTAAGATCAATTTTACTCACCCATTTGATATTTTTAAAACATCTACTGTATGCAAGATGCTGCAAGAAATACAAAGAGGACCAAAAAAAAATCTTGAATCAAGAGTACATGAAGGGAAAAAAATAGGAAGGGACAGGATAATAAGGAGCTCTAAAATGCCAAAGAGAGGACTTTACATTTGATCCTGAAGGCAACAGGGAATAACTGGAGTTCACTGAGTAGCCTTTGGCCCTAGAAAATTCATCTTAGCAGCTGGGTGGAGGCTGGACTGCAAAGCAGAAAGACTTAAGGTAGTTACAAGGCTACTGCAATAGTCCAGGTGAGAGGTGAGTAAGGCCTGAACTAAGGCTGTGCCTGCCTGAGTGGAGAGAAGGCATCCCAAGAGATGTTGTGAAGGTAGAACAGACAAGATTTAGCAACAGACTGGATAGGTGAGGTAAGTGTGAATGAGAAGTCAATGATAACACCATGGAAGGAGGAAATAGCTGACATCGACATTTCTTGAAGTAGAAGGAGATGCTGATGGAGAAACAGAGATGCCGACAGAAAAGTTCTTAGATGGAGAACCCAGATGCTGATGGAAAAGAATGGACCATCTCAAGCTTTTACTCTTCAGTTGAAGGTCTACTATGCCTTCAACACTCTGGGATCCTGGCAAGGCCTTGGCCCTAACTAAACAAAGTCAAGGCCAGACAATCCCAACGGCCAATAATCACTGCCTCCCTTGAGCCCTTTGCTCCAGGGACCAATTTGCCCTTTAGGCTATAGAAGGAATCATTTTAATCAATGCCGGGCCACTGCAGAGCCGGGAAACGTGCCCCCCATGCAGAACGAACACACACACACGTGTCTCGGAGCCTCGGACCCTTTGTCCTGACATCTCTTTCAATGAATGGCAAACTGCTCCTCTCCTGAATTTCGGGGCTGCTGGAGCCCCCAGGGGCCAAGAGGATGCACGAGAAAACTCTGGGACTGCCCTGGTGCCGTTGGAAGGCTCTGCCACTGACCACCTGCTTGGTCCTGGGCAAGTCACTCTCTGGGCCTCAGTTTCCTGGTCTGTAAAAGGAGGGGGCGGAACCAGCGAGGCGATCCCTCGAGTGCCTGTGAGCCGGGGTCGCTACGGGTCGGGCTCCTTCTCGTAACCCATCCCGCAGGGGTTCAGACGCCCCCTCTCCTCCTTCCCTGGAAGGCCCGAGGCCGGCAGGGGGTCGCGACCCCGGCCCCCGGGCGAAGGAGGAGAAGGAAAAAGAGAAGAGGGAGAGTGGGGCACCTGGGGCAGGGGGCGGACCGAGGAAAGAAGGGGGTGACCCGGGAAAAGGACAGGGAAGCCGGGGCCGACGCAGGGCTGGGAGGAGAGCCGCCTGGGCACGCCCCCGCTGCGTTCCCGCCCGTACTCAGCTCGCTGATCCGAAGCAGTTGTCGCTTCTCGGCCCGGGGGCTCTTCCCGCAGCTTGGCCGGGTCGCCGCCGCCGCCGCCGCCGCCACCGCCGCTGCTTCCCTTGAGCCGCTGCCTGGCCCCCCGAGCCGCCATAGCAAGTATGGGCAAGGGAAAAGGCTGTGCCCAATGAAGTCCGCGCTTTTGACGCCATGGCTCGTTTGGGCGAACGGTAGCCGCCGAGGTACGAAATACTTCACGCGAACAGATGCGCTAGAGTTCTATGTATTTTTGGTCATTTAAGGACAATTTTCCCATGGAAGAAGAGAAATGACCCCCAGATTCATAACTCTCCCATAATTTCTAATCTGTACCTCAAACATTCTTCCCTTCTGCATCCTTTCTATTTCTCCTCTGCCTAACATTTTCCCTCTAAACAGCCCCCACTCCCGTCCCCGGACTTCTTAAGGCACGTTTGCTTCACCATACAAAGTGATAGGCTCCGCTTGCAGAGCTGCGGACCCAGTCCCTGCTACCCAGAAGCCTACACCTTCCAGTTACTTGCTTGACTCTACACTCGAGGTTGTTTGGGAGCTGGCCTATTTGACACAAGGTATCCCCTTCATATTGGTGGTAAACTTCATGAGGCAGAGCTCTGCTGACCTCCCAGAAGACCAGAAAGGAATGCCTTAATTTGAAACCAACTTATCAAAGAGATCTGGAAAAAAGGAGTGTGTCACTTTCACATGTATAGTATTTTGGCATGCTCCGGTTTCTCAAGAGAAGGAGCCCTCGGCTATCAGCTAGAACAGCTACAAGTCTCACTTTTCTTCTATGCGATGTTCATTCCACCTTTCTACTTTCACTATCCCATGAATTTGAGTTTAATTTTTTTTTTAAAGCAACTTTGCAGTGAGTTCTAAAGATGATAGGAGCCTGGGCAAAGGAACATGTCACAACTTCCCAACTGCTAAAGATGGACAGTGGTCAGGAGGCCTTTGTAAGAAACGTCTACACCTCTCACTCCCTACACCCAATTATTAATTGCCAAGTCCTGTTGACTTTTTCTCTCTAGTACAGGCCAACAGAGCCATGACCAGTGGCAAATTTAGAAGACACTAAAAGCTAAATCACTTCTTCAGTAGAGTAAGAATAAAGGAAGCCAGAGAGGGAAGCAGTTTTTTTTCATGGTGAGCTTTTTTGCAGATACTCATTATTATCCCAGAAAATGTTTCTTGCTCTCATTTGTGGTAAACCAAAACCAATTCTCTTATTTGTTTCTCCAAAGAGAACCTGTGAGCTTCCTTTTATTCACCTGAAACTTCATTTTGCCTCCTGACTTCATCGATAGTGTTAATACTGGTACAAGTCAGTGTCTTCCCTCAAAATTTACCTAGTGTATATTCTATATGTGCTTATATATGTACATCCTGTCTCCCCAAAAGAATGTTAACTCTTTACATTCAGCACATCAGCAGAGAATATTCCTTTTTTGTTTTTGTCTTGTATCTCTGTGCCTTGTACAGTATCTGGCACAAAAAAGGCACTTAATACTCCATTGATGGAATGAATAATGAATGAATAAAAATGTATTAAGTACTTACTATGTGCAAAGAAGTAGAATAAAAAAGTAAGATAATCTCTATTATAAAGAAACTCACATTTTAACATGGGAGACAATACATATAGAAAGCTTCTTTGACTATATATTTGTTACAAGAGAGGGAGAGTTAGTAGTTTTAGAAATGTAAAAGATAACATCATCAATAAAACATTTTTAAAAAGCACAGAACAAAAAAGTACATAAGGGAACACATAAGAGAACACAATTCTCTTCTTAAATACAATATATATTTACATATATATATATATATATACACATAATGAGTTTTTTTACACAATCCCTATTCTTTTTTGTATACTAAAATGTTTGACAAGTCCATAAAATGGTTTAAAATAAAAAATACATGAGCATCCACTCACATACTTATACATATATATATACACACATACATTACTGTGCAATATAATTACTATAAATAGCTTCATCTTTTGCTATATATTTGAATGTGACTTCCTAAATGTAATACTTCCTAAAATGTAAGAACAATTCTTTGAAATGTGGCCAAAGATGCAACTTCCAAAATTTGGCTCTTAACTCTGGCTTAACTCTGATTTTGATTGGCCTCAAAGCCTCAAAAAGCTCCATAAAGGCAAGGACTTTAACTCATTTAGGTATCCACCACATCACCTAGCACTGTGCCTTCCACTGGAAACATTCGATAAGTCTTATGAAATGAATGAAAAGGACAATGATCTTCTGTTGCTATAGTGGAACTTGATTTGAGACAGTCAATCTTCAAGGCTCCTTTTCTAGCTATTTCACTCCAGGATTTTCAAAATAGCGATGCTCAGAAATCCAGGGTGTCTCTATCCTCTTGGCAACATGGCAGCAAAGGGCTGGAATTGGTGCATGGACAGGATTTTAATACTGTATTAAGATAGTCAAGTTTATGCTGTTGACTTACCATCCACACAAAAGCAGCTAACATCTTAATACCCCATTAAAATCCTACGTACAAAGTTTGTTCCATCCAGTTTAAAACGTCCAAAAGGTGATACAGGAGTGAAACTTAGGGGAGAAATTAAGGCGGGACACATGGATAGTCTTCACAGAACTGACAATCAAACCCATGGAGCCCACCAAAATAGAGTGCATAGAGAAGAAAAGGGCCCAGAACAGAGCTTTAGGGAACACATATACAGTACTTCATCCTCCTTCTGTACCTTTGCATTGGCCATCCTCCATGCCAGGAACACCCTCCCTCTTCAACTCCACAGAATTCCCCTTTTCCTTCAAGACATAGTTTAAGCACTGCCTCCTACATGAAGCCTTCCTTTCCTGATCCCAGCTATTAATGCCCTCCTTTCCTACCTTGCATTTATTTTGTATTTATTTTGTATGTATTTATAGATGTAGATGTTGTTTCCCCTGATAGAATATAAGTTCCTCCAAAATAGGAATTGACTCATTTTTGAATTTGTATCCCAAGTATCTAGCACAGTATCTGGAATGTAATACCATAGGTGCTTAACAAATGTTTGTTGTTTGATATCCTAACCCTAGGATATGTGCCAAAGGACCTGGGAAAGAATCTATCATCCAAGTTAATGGGTGACAGAAAAAGCCAGGAAAAGAGACAGATGTAGAGGAAGATGGATTGACCAGAAAGGTAAGAGAACTACATTCCCATAGTGTTATAAAAATAAAGTATCAATGAGAATGCAATCAATAGCATCGAAGACAGAGTAGAGGTCTAGAATGAGAATAAAGAAGCCAAAAGATATGTTTTACCTAATAAACTATAAGGAGAGATTTTCAGTTTATTTGATTTGTAGAATAAAATATACCTGTTTCAATATACCATATCCTTTGGTATTCATTATTTCCTAGGCTTATCTTTTTCTAAGTTTTCAAAAATGGACACTATCTCACTAAAAAGTATATACATTATTTAACTCATTTATTAAAATCACAAAGAGAGTAAGTCACTGACTTGAGTAAGCTATTGGTATGGGGCTTACCACTATATTTCAAGATAAAACACAAAATGAAATAAATTGTGCTAGTCTAGGAATTTAGCCATATATTCTTCAAAATTCATTATTAGGATCCTAATCACTGAGCTGTATGAGAGAAAACAATGTTTTAAGGAAATAACACCCAATATAATATCTTTTATTATTACCAATCACTGTAGGTCTAAGAGTAACAAACACCTCCAAGCTAAACTCAATTCGGCTTAACAAGTATTTATTGAATATCTATTATGTTCTTGGCCCTGTGAGAGTCACTAGAGATACAATGACAAAAAAAATAGTCCTTGAGCTAAAAGGGCTTATTATATTTTATACAAACATACATGCACATGTATATACACACATATACACACACAAAACACATATGGAGTAAATGGTTTTCAGTGGTGGGGATGGAATAGAAGGCAAAAAAGAATAGAGTTATCAGCAAAGTCCTCTTGTAGAAGGTGCTATCTAAGCTGTGCTTTGAAGGAAGCTAGGAATTCTACAAAGCAAAGGTGAAGATGTTGAACATTCCAGGAATGGGAAATAACATGTACAAAAACATGGAGATGGGAAAGGAAAAGTTTTGTATAGTCAATAATAAGCAGCCATTTTATCTAGAAAGAAAAATTGGTCAGATTATGAAAATCTTTAAAAGCCAAACAAAGCAGTTTATATTTTATCCTGAATACAGTAAGGAGCTACTAGAGTTTCTTAACCAAAGGAGTGACAATAAAACCTATGCTTTAAAAATATCAATTTGGTAGCTATGTGGTTGATAGATTGGAACAGGAACAGACTAGAGGACAGGGAGACCAGTAAAGAAGCTCACTGCACTTCCAGGTTAAAGGTGTAATAAACTAGGGTGTCATCTACTTCTTTTGTCTTCCGTTTATTTTTAAAATAGAGCTAACCTGTTCATTGAGAAAAATAAAACATAATGGAAGTTAAAAAAAAAAAAAGAAATAGGGATTTTGAAAGAAGGGCGAGCTTTTTGGGGGGGAAATGTTTCCTGATTTAGAAATGTTGAATTTAAGATGCCTAAGGGACAAGGAAATAAAAATATTCATCAGGTAGTTGGTGGAATAGGTTCAGGAAAGAGATGATATATATAAAAATTTGGAAGTCATTAACAGAGAGGATAACTGAACCATGAGGGCTAGTGAAATCACTAAGACAGAATGTACAGAGAAGAAAGGAGGGCCCATAATAGGGCTGGGGAGTATATAAAGAGAAAAGGACATAGTTTTGCTGCAACAAAAAGAGACTGAAAAGAAATAGTAAAACAGGTAGAACCAGGAGAAATCAACATCAGAAAAACAGAGACATACTGTTTAGGAGGAGGGAGTGGTCAGCAGTATAAAAAGCTACAAAGAAGTCAAGAGCAATGATGCCTGAAAAGGGGCATTGCATTTAGGAGCTAGGAGTTTGTGAGTAATCTTAGAGACAGCAGTTTCAATCAAGTGGTAGAGACAGAACCAGAATGCAGAAGGTTGAGATGTGAGTGGCTCAGCAAAATAACTGCTGGTCAGAAACTGAGTCTTTGATGTAGAAAGAACACATATTGTTCTTTTCAGTCATGCCAACACTTGAAGAAAATGACATAATTCCATGAAGCTACCTCACTGTCACATGTAAACTCTGTTGTATCTCATTCCTAAAACGGTTTTGAATCATTATTGCCTGCTGGTGACTGAGAGCTCTGTCACAAGTCTGGTAGGTGAGTCTATAGCAGAGGCTGATCTGTCCAGTTTGTGGGTGCTGGAAGCGATTAAGGAGCTGGATGGATGTGATCATATCCTGAGACACAGCTCGAGCCACAGTGTGAAACTCTACTTCATCAAATCCTCTCTCCTCATCTAGCCAAAAGCTAACATCATGTACATAAGATGGGGGATAGAGGGAAAAAGTTTTAAAGGGTTCTACTTTTCCAGGGACAAAATGATCTAGAAAACGTTCATCAAAGGTCCATAAAATTCTCCAGTCAGGGATCCCCCACACCAGCATGACTAAAAGGTCCAGGTTCACAGATGCAAATACGAAATCCAGGTCTTTGTATAGCTGGCTTGTGGCAGATGTTATGATAGACCCAATAACCAGACCCACTATTTCATCTGGACCAAAACTGTGAGGCTTCACACAAATCATATAATCTTTTTTGTTTTTCTGAGGCTTAAATGTCAGAGAGTGGCTCAGTTCAGGGCCATCTGGCAATCTCTGTGTCAGAAGGCCATGTAGAGAACATTTCAGGTGTTCCAGGAATAAGTGAAGACAGGAATCACTCAGTTTTTTATTAAACCCATGAATAAATAAAGTCTCATGAAATGCTGGCAGCATGAAAGGTGAAATAAGGCATTTCCTAAAAACAGGACCACTGAGGATGTGCAGAGACCCTGGGAGGAAGTATGGCCCTTGGATAACATCCTGTGCATAAAGGAGGAGGGAAGGTCTGAGATAAAACTTTCCTGGGCTTTGGATTGTCTTCTGGGTCTCTTGTTCCCAGTTCAACTCAGGGTCTTTCTGAAGATGGAGCCTTGAAAATGACAACAGAAAGTCCTCCATATCATATGCTGTTTCACCTGCCCATAACTCAGAATGTGGAATTTTCTCTTTTTGGGGAACGATCCAAAAGGAAGCTGATGGAGAGTCAAAGCTCCAGGAAATGTCACTATCACAGCCTTTCTCTGGAAGCAAAAGACCAGGGCATTTCACCCTCTGAAGTGAAAAGGTTTTACCAAGCTCAGCAATCAGCTTTTCATTTATGGTCCTGACAGGATGACTTGAATTTGTTTCAAGGAAACCCCTGTTTGATACAAAAGAGAAATCATTCTTCTAACTTAAAAAAAATACTATCCTTTAGGTAGAATTAAAAACAAATAATAAATAGCAAGAGGAATTAACTGTAACTTAAAAAATAAAAGAAACTCTATTTTGAGAACAGCATAATGTAATGACTAGACAACTAGCCTAAAAGTCAGGAAGATCTGGGCTCAAAATCTATCTCTGACACATAATTGCTGTGTGACTTTGAGAAAATCAATTAACTTTTCAATTCATGTGTTGCAGAGAAGATGCTGACCAGTACTAGAAGAATAGATTCACATCTGGGAGGTCTAGTTCCTATCCCAATCTCCCATCATAAACAAAAATGCACTGATTCAGAACCCAACTACTACCTCATATGTGATAAACTAAAAAATATAGCAATTGTAATTACTGAAAATCTGTGGAATGACAGATTGACAGTTTTATAGGGATCATTATCATCATTAATCATTTAGCATTTGTAGGATACAGAGCTTCCATCAAGTTAATTAGTGCATATTCTGAGATGGATGATATTTCCAGAAAACAAGAGATTACCTGTTTATCTTCCCTACCAGTGCTTCTGGTACCGAGAAGGAAAGCCAATGATCATCCAGTCTAACTCTGCAGATCATGGAGTGGGATTCTTCAAAAGGTAAGCTCCGAGTAAAGACATGATTCAAAGCACCTTCAACATGGAAGGACTTGTTCTGACTCCTGGCAAAACACAAGGTCCTAAGTATGTGCTGAACAATGGCAAAAGGGAATGAGCATTCCTAAGGGACTGAATCAAAAAAAGTCAGAGAAAATGCTATAGCTCAGTTTTTAACTGAGAGGTGAAAAGAAAAGGCTCCAGTTTCACTAGTGTGCATTACCTGTAGCCAGTGCACTTGTACCCTGGCAATGAATCAGAGCTGAAAGGATGAACACTGCTTAAGAGGAGTCCTCCTCCAGCTGCCATAGCTACTACTTGCCAACTATTGTGCCATTCTCTCCTGGGACAATCAGCAGGTGTTCCGCCTTGTCCTCTGCACAATGCCACGTGGACCTCCCCTCTCTCTGTAAGGACATCAACACAGCTACAGGAAAAGAAGAATTATTCCTCAGTAGCCATTAGAAATAACCATGGGTACCACCAACATAGCCAGATTTTAAGACTGTCTTTTAAGGACTAAATTTTTAAGAAATCTGGCTACAAGTGAATGTAAACGAGAATAAAATAAAAATCTACTTAGCAGTACCCACATAGTATTTTTCAACCAGAAACATTATGTTTGTACTGAAGGACCAGCGTCTGCAAGACTGCTGTAAAATGTGATCAGAGGGATTCATTTTTCTAATCATTTAACCAAGTATTTTTTTCTTCCCTAGTAGTTAACCTATAAAACTGTCACATAAATGCTATACTATAGTACTAATCTCTTGAACAAGATTACAGAAGTCAAGTCCCTTGAACATGTCATTGTTTAGGAATTCCTCCCTCCCCCCCCCCAAATATTCTCCCCATATAGACTGGTCAACTGAATGGAACTAGCCTCTAACCTATGGGTGGCCAGAGCCGAACAAAGCAAGCTAGAGACAAGAGAATCAGGAATCAAACAGAAATTTAATTTCAAAGTGAGGGAAGTGGCTTGCAAGCAAGGACACATGTGCCAGAGCCACCCGGTAGTAGTGGGGGCGGGGTTGGTGGAGGAATTGGCTTTATTGTGGGGATATCTCAATACTTACACCCATGGCTTCACAGTGAGCTGAAGCCCTGACAATGAGAGGTAACAGCAACAACGTGACACAAGTTTGATTTATATCAGGGCTTCACCACTAGAAACAGTTCTGGAATTTTGTTATGGCTAAGCTCATCCACAGGGTGAGTGTAAAGGATTGTTGTTATGGCTAAGCTCATCCACAGGGTGAATGTAAAGGATTGTTGTTATGACAAGCTCAGGGCATAGCTTGCTTGCTGGGCCTTAGCTCTGGAAAACAGGGTATGTAATATCTGATATCTTGACAGATTCTATGTGCCAAATTCAATGCTTCCTTAAAGGAAATATCTGACAATAACTGCTGTCTAAGCCTGTGTCCTCATCTGTAAAATTAAAGGGTGGGACTAGATAATCCCCAAGGTCTCTTCCAGCTCTGAATCTATATTCCAATACTCCAATGCTGAACTTAATTCTGACCTCCAACATGTTACTTTACCTTAACAGTCTTTCCCATACTCTTCTCTCCCCTGCCTGGTTGCCTATAGTTAATTTACTGCCTGTACCACAAATTTTGTTACTTGCTACACACCATAAGGCATGTCTACTTTGAAAAAAAAAAAATATATATATACACACACACACACACAATACATATACACACAGAGAAACATACATAGAAAATACAATACAAATGACCACGTACAAGACCGACCGTGGGGAAGGGTGGCTATTTGTTTTGTGTGTGTGTGTAGAGGGGGGGGAGAGGGAGGGAGGGAGAGAGAGAGGGAATATTATTGTTTTGCCCTTCCCTCTCATTATTTCAAGTCTCAGTATTCTTCTAGGGCTGAGACCACGGTCACATACTTTTCGTGCTCCATACCATGCCTGGTAAAGCCTGAGCTCCGCCTCACCTCTGGAAAAACCTGGCAAGTAGCTCCCTGTTCTTAGCCACTCCAGCTTTGCGCCCACAGTGCGGGAAGTTGAAATAAATGCGATCAAACTTGCAGCCATCCTCGGCGAAGGTATCTGCCAGCTGGGTGCAGTCCACACCGAATCGCACCTCAGCACCTGGGGGAGAAGGAGTTGTGTAGGGAGTGAAAAGCCAGGAGCACGAGTCACCCCCCAGCTCAGCACAGGGTCCTCAGCTATTCTTCCAGCTTCCAACAAACGATTCAATTCAACTCAATAAACACTTATTAAGCACCTACTGTGTGCCAGACTCTGTGCTAAGCCCTGGGGATACAAAAAGAGGCAAAAGCCAGTCCCTTACAATCTATTGGGAGAGACAATACATACAAAAGCAAGCCACACACACGATAAATAGGAAATGATCAAAAAAGGGAAAACACTGGCACTTAGGGGGACGAGGGAAGGCTTGCTGTAGAGGTGGGATTTTAATTGGGGCTTAAAGCGGGAGGTCAGTTGTCGGAGCAAAAAGGAGAGAACTTTCAAGGAAAAGCGAACAACCAAAGAGATTACGCCTCAATTCCACGTCGGAGGAATAAAACACAAAACCCAGCTCCACGCCCAGGTTAGGAAGCAGACGGAAATAGAAGAGTTACGTGGCAGTGGGGGCGGGGCTTAGGCGAGGGGGCGGGGCCTCGCTACCTTGCTCGCGAAGGCGTCGTAGGTTCTCCTGAAACACTGGGTCCCCCGCCAGGGCCGTGGGTTCCTGGGGACAGGTGGCGATAAGACTAGTGCCGGGCTCTTGGACCTCGCTCAAGGCGGCGGCGAAGGAGAAATTCCCCTCCCCAACCAGTAGGAGGCGGCGATCGACCATGTTCCCTCAGCTCGCCGCCACTCAGCCGGCCCGACCAATGCACGTCATCCGTCACTTCCCCTTCCTGCCGCTGGGCCTCTACTCCGCGGTCGCGGAATGATTACGCGCCACAGCGGCAGGTTGCCTTGACAACCAGTTGTTGGTTCCCCCGAACAGGTGGTGGTGGTATGACCATGACTGCAAATATGAGGAACTTTCCCCAGAAGGTAAACCGATTCCTTTCCCCAGCACTAGCCAAGCGCAAGCTGATTCGTCAGCACTTCTGTGACGTCACAAACAATCGCCAGTGCAGGAGCCTGGCTGGGAACGGCTCCTAGGCGAGCATTCCTGTCTCCCACCTTCCTACCTTTATCCTGGGACGCATCTTAGATTTACGTTTGGAAAAGACCTCTCATTCTAGAGACCCCGAGAATCCGAGTGACTTTCGAGGGTCACGCAGGGAGTCAGGGGCAGAGCTCTGGAGTCTAACTCAGCTCCTGAGTTCCAGATCCAGAGCCCTTTCTACTATGGACCACGAATGGCCTGGGCCTTTCCCAAGAATTCAGTCCTACTTCTGCTACTTGCCACTTACTGGCTGGGTGAACCTTGAGCAAGTCATTTCGCATCTGGGCCTCTGTAAGATATGGGGGTTGGAATTCAACCCAGCCATGCTTTCTCTCTATTGAAATTACACAGTCTAACCTCGTAAATCCTTAGTATTTGCTTCTTTGTGTACCAGTTTTCCTCCATAAGATGTAAGCTTCTTGAGGGCAGGGACTTTTTTTTGGGGGGGTGAGGCAGTTGGGGTTAAGTGACTTGCCTAGAGTCACACAGCTAGTGAGTGTCGTGTCTTAGATCGAATTTGAACTCAGGTCCTTCTGACTCTGGGGCCGGTACTCTAACCAACTGCACCACCTAGCTTCCCTTAAGGACTTTTTTTTTTTGTCTTTGTAACTTCAGCTGTTTGGGACAGTACTTTTTACAGATGTAGTAGGCACATAATAAACGTTTGTCCAATTGAATGGAATTAGATGATCCTCTTGTCCTACATCTTTTGATCCTCTGGTGTACTAAGGAAGGATCTACTGTTCCATTCGCCATTCTACTACCACAAGACTAAAAGGATAAAAGGTTAGTTATGGTTTGAAGTCCAGATCCTCTGAACTTTGGATCACTGCTTACTTCAGTTATCCTGCTGCCTGGTGATATCAGCACAGCAAACTTCACAAAGAGGGCCCAGTGACCTGCTTGTTTGGTCTCGCTACCCAATGTATCCTCAGTTCTATCAGCTCTGCCTAAGGTATTGGCAGCGGCTTCTTCATCATGGCCACAGAAATTCCATCAGGACAAGTAGGGTGAAGATCCTCATTTCTGTTGGATTGAAATTCCAAAATCTAGGTTTGGTGACCTGTCAACCCCCCAGGGAACATGGAGAAGAGAAGTCAAGGCTTCCTTTGGCCTTCTGAAAAAGTTTCAAGGGAGCCGTTTCAATACGAATCAACTGTCTCTAGCTCAGATGAGGTATTTTCTTGTTTCTGAACCTGGGGTCTGAATTGGGGATGATCAGACTCAGGGAGAACATGACAGCTGTCATCAAGTATTGACAGGGTTGTTATATGAAAGAGGGAATATATTTTTTCTGCTTGACTTGGTGTTAGGAGGGAGGAGGAGAACTGGGAACAATGAGTAGAGGTTGCAAAGATGTAAATGTAGGCTTGATGTAATAAAAATTTTCTGTTAGAGTTATCCAAAAGTAGAATGGGCTGATTCATGAGGTAATGAGTTCCCTTTCTTTGAGAGCTTTAAGCAATGACTGGATGACCACTGGTCAGTCTGTTGTGGAGGGGTTCTTTCAGGTACAGTTTGGACTAAATGACCTCTGAAGTCCCTTCTAACTCTGAAATTCTAAAATTCCATTTTTCATTTCACATAAAGTAAAATGTGCTGTTTAATAAACTAAGCTCCCTTGTTCCTTATATTCCTAAATTCTGAGCTAGCTGCATCAGTTAACTGATACTCTATATTGAATTTCTGGGCACCTAAGATTTCCTAGAGTCCTCTCCAATACAGTCATCTCAGCTGATTGACATCTAGTTCTTGCTGCGTGTGAGGGCATGTGGAGAAGTAGTTACTAGTATATGATAGGTCAGGAGTAAAAATGCAGCTGCCTAATGAACTACCACAGACTATGGCAGAAGCCTGGACCTTGCTTAGACTTAATATCTTTCTAAGAAATATGTCATATCTCAGTGTTGGAACAGAGAGTGAAAAGAAATGGAATTCTATTATGTGATTTGTGCAATGGTTTCCTTTTCCTGCCCTTCCCCAGAAATTATCCTTTTCCTGCTTTCTCACAAATCCACAATGTGGATGCCTAATGCACTCAGATGGTCATGGTGAAGTATGGACAGACTGGAATGATATGTCCAAGTTTTTCCAGTATGGATGGAGATGTACAACCAATGAAAATTCTTACTCCAACCGTACCTTAATGGGCAATTGGAACCAGGAGAGGTATGACCTTCAGAAGATTGTACAACCACAACCTCTGCCTTCCCAGGTAATCCTCCTTCCTTTTCTTCCTTTGGCCTCTCCTATTAGCAGAAAAGACTATGTGGTGGTCTTAGGAGGCAGAATATACAACCCTAACATTCCTCAATCCAATCAGATGTTACCTTTCCTTTTGATAAATGACTCAGAATATACCATGGAATTCCTCATCAAGCTAGATAAGATTTTGATCCTATCTACTAATTCTGTATCAATACTATTCACTCATTCCTGGAACACCAGTGTCTCCTAGATGAGGATAGATAACCATACTGATTACATAGACTTGAACTTCCCTCATGGGAAGCTTTACTGTGAAGTCTCCAGTCCACATAAGCCAAGGCAAGCTCTGTTACTACTAATTCCATGGAGTCTTCTATTCTTTGAAACTTGGCTGCATAATTTTTACTGCAATCCCTCTTGTTTTCCTTTCTAGTTTGGTCACTATTTTGAAACAACCTTTGCTGCCAGCTACAAAAAGAAGCTACCTCCACCCCGAAGTAGGTGCTTTATGGTGGAGAACAGGGTCAGGATGGGGTAGTAATCATCGTTCTTAGCTATTAAAATTGAGCCTACTTCAAATGAGTGCTTTAGGATGTGTTCCCTCCCAAATCCACTATTTCTATGGCTCCCCAGGATTCTTCCAGCCTGTAATATAGCTTTTTACCCATGGAGTTACTGTGAGAAACCTATCCTATCCCTACAGGTTGTTTCTTTTTATTGAAATAACCAGTTTCCCATTTTCCTCGATGTGAACAGACCTAATTGCAGAATAGTAAGGTGGAAAATGTGCTGAATTTAGTGTTGGGAGAGACCTGGGTTTGAATCCCAATTTTGACAGTGTGACCTTGGGCCAAATCACTTTACCTTCTCTGAGTTTGAATGTTTTCATCTATAAAATTGGGATAATAGAGTCTGGTTTTACCTAGCTCACAGTTATTGAGAGGATCAAGAAAAATAATATATATAAAATATTTAATCATTATGTAAATATCAGCTAGTGTTATTATTATTAGGACAATCCCTGTTAAGTAATGTCAATTTTCCATTTCCTACCTTTCCTTGCAGGGTTTAAACAAGAGCCTCATTATTTCCCTAGACATCAAGCTGAGCTGATTCCTCCTCCATACAAAACTAGTGCCACAGGAAAGACTGATTACATGGTGAATTATTCAGCACCGCAAACCAAGGAAGGATATGTATGGGATCCTAAAGATGGTCAATCCTAAGGCTCAGGCACTAGGGAAACAAGACAAACTCCTTTTTTCTAGAGTAAAATATAACTGGGAATAGTTCTCTATTCAACACAGCTAAGAATTTTGCTTTCTGTAAACATAATAACTCTTCTCTGGATAAAAAATAAAGTCCCTAGGAATTGGAAGGTAATTTCTGCTGGGGTTCTCTTCCTTTCTTAACCTAAGAAGACAATGTCACCTTTTAGTTATTGAAATGTAGATGCAGTACTAGTTGTTTGTCATTTATTTCAAAGAAGACCAATGACATCAGGAGTCATGTCTTGACTCATATGTGGATTGGATTTAAGTGAGGCAGAGCTGTAAAAAGTCATCAGCCTCACTCTGTCTTCCAGAGTCATCAAAGTCCAATGGCAAGACAAAAGTTAGGATGACTGGCGATGGCCCGGGATGCAGTGGATGACCTTAGAGCTCTGACCAAGCTCTGAGCTCTCCATAGCTCCTGCTTCAGCTACCTTCATGGCTACTGGAACAAATTGTTCTCCTCTGCCCATTCTGCCCAGGGAAATCTTCACATGCTGGGGTAGATATCCCCCTAACTCACAACCAGGTTTGAGGCCTGTCAGTACCCTCAACCTGGTATAGCCTGTCTGCCAAGATGGTTTTACTGCTGAGCATGATGGAGCCACAGGTGACAGTTGGGTAACAGGTGTACACCAAAGGTGGATGAGCAGTCCTGAAAAGGGCTTGGCAAGTCCTCACACCACAGGGGCTACTCCTCCCTGCACACCCGACACACCCTAATACCAGTATAGAAGTGTGGTAAGAACATAAACTCTGTGGCTTTAGAAGAATGTCATTGTTCCCTAATCCAGGATGACTACATCTCACCTCTCTTTGTAAATAATAAATTCCCAGATTATTTAGACTCTAATAATCTTTTGCAATACATTTTCTTTAAGGAGTAAGATGAAAGACATATGATGTCTGCTATCACCTCCCTGAGTATCCCCCTACACAGTACTAGGACATGGATGAAATAATTGGAATTAAGGGATGCTGGTAATCCAGAGCAAGATATTCTCCCTCCCCTAGTGCTTGATATCAGCAGGACTTTTTTGCAGGAGAATAAGTAATAAACATTCTATTTTAGTCACCATCTCTTTGCTTTTTTTTTTGAGCTTTGTCTCCTGTACTCAGTACTAACTACTATTTCTTTTCATTTACATTTTTTTATTCTCAGGGCTCTGAGACTTGGAACTAGACTTTCCCTTGCAATATAAACTAGTGCTTTGGAGATAGAGAAGCTTTGTATTTCTCCACTGTTTTCAAGTGCAGAAAATGGAATAAAGAAAAGCTATAAGCTTATTATGCATGTAGGTTTGAGGACTGGAGCCAGTGATGGAGTAAAGATGCCATTTGAATTACTTTCTAATGATTCCAAATAATAAATACACAGTGCAGAAAACTATGGGGAACACATTCTAAAAGATCATTTTCTTTGATGCAAATGGGAAGTATGGCTTCACCCCATACCATGCCCCTTCTGGAAGCCTCTCCCTCCACCCAAAGGCTTAAAATCAGGGAGAGAGTAAAGAGTGTTTTATGTGCAAATCTGATGAAGTGAGAGAATTGTCTGTGTGTGTCTATATTCTTGTCTTACTCATAATTACACAAATGCCTTCCCTTATTGGCTAGTAGCACAATTTTCCTGACCTGGTCAGAAATTTAATCTTTTCATTTAAAGGCTACTGTAAAATATCCAAAACAAGAGTTACATAGGATGAGAGTTAAAATGTAAGCATGAAAATGTCTAATAACCATCCTTTGACTTTGCTGTCCAAAACACTCCTCCCTGGCCACTATTCCCCTAAACATGTTAATCTCCTTTTAGAATGTAAGCTCTTTGAGGGCAGAGATCATCTAGACTACTTGTATTTGTATTCCCAGCACTTAAAGCAGTGCTTGCCCTATAGAGTAAATGCTTAATAAATGCTCTTTCAAACTTGGAAAGACATACACAAACTGTTGAAAAGTGAAGTGAACAGAACAGCAATGTTGTATAAAGATCCAACTGTGAATGACTTAGCTCTTCTCAGCAATACAATGATTCAGAATAGTTCCAAAGGACTCGTGATGAGAAATGCTGTCCGCATCCATAGATTCTGAATGCAGATGGAAGCATACTATGTTTTACTTTTTAAATTTTTTTCATTTTTTTTTCTCTTTGAGTCTGTGTCATCTTTCACAACATGACTAATATGGAAATTTGTTTTGCATGATTTCACAAGTTCGACCTATGTCAAATGGCTTACCGTGTCAGGGAGGGGGAAGATGAGAGAAGAAAGGAGGGAGAAAATTTGGAACTCAAATTTTTTTTAAAAATTAATATTAAAAATTATCTTTACCTATAATCAGGAAAATATATTTAAAATTTTAAAAATAAATGTTCTTTCTTTTGTTAATTCATATAATATTTTTTTAATTAACAAGCATTTACTTTCTCTTTTACCTCCTCTCTACTAAAAAAAGGAAGAAAAACAAAACTTTTATGACAAATATGAATAGTAATTTTAAAAAAGTTCTAAATCAATTATGTCCAAAAATATATATCTCATTCTTCATATTTAGCTCATTGCTTCTTTATAAGGAGATGGATAACATTCTTCATTATTAACCCCCTGGAATCATAGTCATTACATTGATATTTATATTTCATTGCATTCTTAAATCTTTCAAAGTTTTTTGTTTGTTTGTTTTTAAAATAATGTTATGGTACAAACTGTTCTCCTGGTTCTGTTCACTTCACTCTGGCTAAGTTCATTCAGGTCTTCCCAGATTTCTCTGAAACTATCCTCTTCATCATTTCTTATGGCACAGCAATATCCTATAATGACATAATCATAATTTGTTCATCCATTTCCCCAACTGAAGGATACCCCTTTAATTTCTTGGTTCTTTGTCATGACAAAAAGGGCTTCTGTGCATATTTTTGTACATATGGGTCTTTTTACTCTTTTTAAAAAATTTCTTTGGGATACATTTATGTAACATTTAAAGTTGATTATGTAATGGAATTATTAGACCATATGTTATATCCATTTAACCATGCATCTAAAAATAGTTTAGTTCTGCTTTTGGAAGGAAACTATCAAAATAGCAAGTCCCAAAATTTGATAATTTGTACTAAATAAAGTCAGTAAGGCAGAGCGTTTTAACAAAGACTTATTCATAAAGATAATAATAGCTAATACAGATTTAAAAGCATGAGTAAGATTCTAAGGTGAGGGATGGAATCGGGAATAAAGGAGAAGAGGAACAAAGGCATGGGAGTGAAAATGCTTAGGAGATATGTGGGAGGTGGAGCATAAGGAGAATCATGTAATGAAAAAAACAGCTGTTCTTAGAGTCAGAAGATACCTCATCTGTAAAATGGAGATAACACTTGCAATAACTGTCTTAAAGGGTTGTTTTGAATGAGAAAATATGTGTAAAGCGTAAACTTTAAATAAAATATTAGAGACAGTGTGGTATAGTAGGTAGAAGACTGGCCTTAGAGACATGATTATATAAGTTCAAGTACCATGCCTAGCTCATATTACAGTAGCTGGTGTTGTGGCTATGAGTAAGTCACTCAACCCTTTTTTGTTCCAGGCAAAGACTATACATTTTTGCAGTTTATTTGCCAATCTGAACTGGTAGAGGTATTTCCGTACTTTGAAGGCCCCACACTAAAGAAATGTGGAAACTCCTAGAAAAAGCTTTTTTTTAAACTTCACTTGCAGTTGCCAGTTATCACCTCCTACTCACTTTTCTATTCTACTATATTCTGCTTCTGAACCCACCATTCAAGTGAAACTGCTTTTTCTAAAGTTACCAATGGTTTCTTAATTGCTAAATGCAATAATCTTTACTCTGTCTTCATCCTTAATTGACCCTGCCCAATATAGTCACTTTCTTGCTGGACATAGCCACCTGGACATTCCATATCCATTTCAAATCCTACCCCTTCTCTTAACGTCCCTACTTCAGCTAACAAACCACCATTCTTCCCCTCATTCAGGTTTCCAACCACTAAGTCATCCTCAACTTTTCATTCTCCCTCACTTTCCATATCCAATCAGTTGCCAAGTCTCTCCTTTCCGTCCTCTTCTCTTACATGGCCACCACCACAGGTCAAACCCAAATCACCTTTTGCATTGACTACAGCAACACTGTCCTCACTGGTCTCCTGACTCAAGTCAGTTTTTTCCAATCACCTTCCACGCCACTGTCAAATTGATTTCCTTTTTTTTTTTAAACAAAATTTTATTGATATCTTTTGTTTTTCTACTACCTACATTTCCACTAAATTCTTCTTTAATTCCTTCCTAGAAAGCCATCCTTCATAATAGAGGTTCTCAAACCTTTTAGTCTCAGATCCTTTATACACTCTTAAATTATTGAGGACTTCAAAGAATTTTTGTTTGTGTAGGTTACATATATTAATATTTACCATCTTAGAAATTAAAATTGCTATTTTAAAATATTAATTTCAAATAATAAACCTATCATAAAGTAACATTTATCCTTTGTCCTTTTGCTGACCATGCCTCACCAAACCCGAGCCTTAGATTACTCCCACTATCTACCTCTTTTGTTCCTTGCTATTCGTGTGTTGCTGAGTGGAACTGGGGAAAATTATGAAACCATGCTGATCTGGTCAACAGAATATTTAAACTGAGCCCTTATTGCAGCAAGACAATCCTCCTCTAATTGATTTTCTGTCCCATTTACTACAGCAGGTGTTCCAAACGGTTTCTTCTCAAGCCTCCCAAGCTGTTCCCTTCTCCTGTCCTCTCTGCTGAGGGCCTCACATCATACTTTGCTACAAAAATTTTGGCCGCTCACTGAGAGTGCCCTCTCCCCTCCTCATCTCACACCCCTCTGACAGCATCTTCCACTATCTTTGCCTTCACTCTAATCTCTGATGGTGAAGTGGCTTTCAAGTGCCAAGGACACCATGTACCATAAATCCCATCCCCTCCTGTGTTCTCTAACAGCTTGTCCCCAACATCATCATCATTCTCTAATCTTCAGTCTCTTTCTGTTTACTGCCTCCTTCCCTGCTGCCTACAGACATACCAAAGTCTCCCACAATGGTAATGTGGGGGGTAAGCTCTAACTCTCCCAGAACCAGGCTGGCTACATCTC